GGCTCTGCACACAATATTGCCATTACAGATCAGGCTGGAAACTGAGGATGCAAGAACATCTTAACCAATCCATACTTAATTTCCCCTAAGAGTAGCTATGGGGAAGATGGGTGTGGCAGTGGATCTGTTATCAGATTTTACTCATATTTAACTCAGTGACATTTCCCTTTTCAACCTGTGCCAAAATACCTTAAGGAGTTCCTGTGCACCGTGCCAAAGAAATATAGGCAAGAGCCACTGGCAAAGGCAAGATTTAGTTTGTGGAGTTGGTACATGATGTTTATTCTCCTCTGCACAAGAGACTGACACACACAGGTAACCACCTGCAGCCCGCTGCCCACCTGAATCTATTTGGTACAGCAAATGTATTTCTGCATTTCTGTGGCCAACAGCACACCACAGAGTAGTGCTGCTGACATCCAACATGACTTCAAACAGCCCAGCACCAATTTACTTCTGGGTCTGTTGGGAGCATCCTTACACAAACAGCTGGGATGGGGATTCAGTTCATACATGTGGATTGGCACAGAGCTCTGCTGACAGTCCTCACAGCAGCAACGTGTCTGAAAATGGGCTGATGTGGGAATACTCTGACACAAAAAAAATATCCCTTACTTAACTGATGCCAAAAGTGCTCTTTCAAACCTGACCGTCTCATTCTTGGAACATACATGCGTCCACTTACTGCCTAGTAAAACCAGATCTACTGACTATATTTGAATTACAACTTTAGTGGAGATGAGCATGCTTGTAGGCATACACAGCAGTATCTTCTTGGGGTCCACTGTGCCAGGCTCAAGGTTCTTTGGTCACTTCAAATTCAGCATGTGTTCTAGCACTTTATCCAGCTTGATTCTGGATTTATAGGAGCCCAGAATATTTTGCACACTAAATATGTGCAACTGAGCAATTGACAGCCGGTGCCCTCAGTCTCTCTGAGTTATTCAATCGGGAAAAGGGCTGTGCATTTCCTGGGCTTTATGCTTCGCTAGCATGGAATTAGCTTTTTGCCAGCCCCTAAAGCCCAAACCTGATCTCATCCAAACTTTGGGAAAAATGGATCTGGCTCCAAGCCCTGTATTTCAAGGCCATCTTTAATATAGAGGTAGCAAAGGGTTGGAGTTTTTTATGCCAATTCTCTGCTTTCTCACCAACTAATGGAACAAAAAGAAGGAAAAACTATCTGGGTCCTAGGAATATCATCTTTGCTTTCTTTTGGAAATAGATGATGAACCAATCAGGCTGTGAATGATGAACTGTTTTAAATAGATAAGAAACAAATAGGCAAAGAGAAAATAAGGTTATTAAGAGGCAATACTGGGAAACTGAGTGACAGATAATTATTTCAACTTAATTTAATTTAAAATTTAGCATTTCTTTTATGCTCACTCCTATAATTTTTTTCTCCTTTTGTTCACATTCACTTTCTGGGAAGAAAAAAAAAAAAAAAAAGGTAGAGTCAAAATACAGAATTTATCATCATCTAAAGCAAAAAATTCAATGACTCACAAAAAAAAAATAAATTTGTACCTTGCCACAGGTCTCCAGGATTACATGTAGGGGCTGTCATGGAGAAACCAGCAGTGGCTGATACAGGAACAGTTCAGTGCAGTTGGTAAGTCCTGTCCTGTCTGCCTACTTTTGAGGCTTGCTCTGGCTCTGTTCTCTGCTGCCCTGGAGCATGGGCACAGATAGCATCTGGCTTTCTACCCCAGCAATGCAGGCATCACTTCAGAAACTTTTGCTTGAAAATACAAATGTAAAGATAAAAAAATCTCACTTTGATTTTTTTTTGTTAATTAGTAAGAGGAAACATACCTGTGAGATATATCAGTTCATTTTGCTTTTCATTTCCCCGAGAATAAACAGGAAATTTGATTAACTGAGATTGTCTTAGCTTCATTGGCCTGGTTAGTGAGGTCCTCTTTTATCCACATTTATACATGGGAAGGGCTAAATGCTCCTCTGGATGGTCTTTCTGGACACAGGGGTAGAAGGAGGGGAGAACTGATTGTGCACCAAAATCCATGGAAGGAGCAGCAATGAACCTCTCATGTGGAAACTGCCTATTTGAAAACTGCTGACCTGCAGCTCCATGACTCTGTCATACACTGCTCCTAAAAGACCTGACACCAAACCTTCACTCTGTTCTCTCTCCCCTACATTTGGAGACCCCAAAACCATCAGGTAGCTTCCATTCAAAAGTACAGAGCATCCTTTGCTCTAAATTTTATCACCTTGAGCAAAAAGAAATCCTCATTCTCTCATCCTCCCCACTACCCTCACCTTACTCCATAATGTTTGTCTGTTCAGGGATGAGTAGCTTATAACCTCTTTCAATAAAGTATTCAGCAGTTTTCCTATGCATGGTTTCATTCACTTGGCAGTTTTACAGCTGCTAATGCTGCTGTGGATACCATCCTTTTAAATAATGCCTGAAACTATTGTCATTTTACCCTCAGAAAGTAGCAAGGTTATGTAGTTCTACTGGCTCATACATGAACATGCCATTCTTTAAATGAAAAGGGTTATTATATTGTTTTTAATAGTTTTTCATCCCAGCAACAAGTATAAAAAAAATCCTGCTTTTATACTAAATTAAGGCAAAAGGCTCCTGCAATAATATCTATGATTTTATGTGCATAGGGCATACAAAGTGATAAAATAAGCATCACTTTAGTGCTGATACTTTTCATCAAAAGAATAATTCAATATGGAATGACATCAGCATTCTAGCTATGATTTCTTCATTGCTCTTTGGAAAAACATCAAAGAAATGCTGTGAACGGATTTTTCATTCTATTTAGTTGAGGTACGCAAGAAACATCTTATGACTTTTCAGATAAGACATTAGCTAGCTGGAAATGTAGGACAGACATAGATAAACTTAACAATCATTGACCAGTGCCATGGAAAACAGCTTTTCCTTTACAGAAATTCAGACTACTAATAATCTTTAAAAGGATTCAGCCAATCAGGTTGTAAGGTTTTATTGAAATTGACCCAAAAACTCAATACTTTTTAGTTTATTTGAGAAGGACGCTGTTTTTCACTCATGCAGAGGAGATATTTTGCTAAATTTTATTTGAGTTTTTTAACTGTGTAACTGTTCTCAAATTCAGCTAAATTCTACATGACTGTAGGCAAGTAGTCCCTGTTGTAATGCAGAAGAACACGGATGAAAGCAGGAGAAGAGGCCTTCAGGGAGCACTGCTGCAAATCAGGGCAAAAACATGTAGCTTGCCATGAGTTAAACTCTGTGAATTTATGCACTAAATGAATTCCAACACAGCCACAACTCTGCAGATAAGAATATAATATAGACCCTTTCTAGCTAAAAATTGCTTCATCCTAGCATCTCCTGAGAGTAACACTTACAAGAAAGCCCCCTTCATTGGAACAGCTTTACAGAGTTAGCTCATGGAAAAACAAAGCAGGCTAAATATAACTTCATTTGCCTTCTAGAAATTGTAGGAGTTGTGTCCTTTGGGGGACCTCTTACATTTACACCCAATTCTTTGGAAGTTAGAGCAAGAGAAAGAGAGATCCCATGTCCTCAGAGTGGAACTATAGAATAGAATTTAACCTGGATTTGAGCTTACATCTTTCTATAGTGAGAAAAATAAATGGACCACCACCATGTCCTTCAGAACACATCAAGTGGAACGGAGCACCAGTGTAAAGCATAACAGCTGCTGCTGACAAACAGCAGCAAAGAAATTTTGTTCAGAGGATAAAATAAATCTAAAAAAAAAAAAAAAAAAAAAAAAAAAAAAAGCAAGCAAGCTGATGTGAACAGACTGCTGTTCATTATTCTCTTGAGAAATATGTTCAGAGCATCATACTGCCAGAGATATTGAAGAATCAGTAATGCTTTGACATGTCTCTACATTATCCTGCTTACAAAACAAGCCCTGTTCCTACTGCCAGTGAGGCTTGGAATTACATTTCCAATTATTCACTTTGCCTACCAGAGAACAATAAGGTAAAAGCTTATTTCTATAAAGCTTGTGCAGAACTAGTATCTAGTGTAAAACTAAGTCATGTAACTACACTATTACTTGTGCTATGGTGCTACATTGTCTATCAAGTACAGCTACAGTAATGCAAAGAAAACCAATGCTTCTACTCTCTATAGTTACTTAATATAGCAAAAATCTAATCTGCACACTTTGGTATGCATTTTACTTTTACTCTAGAACGTCTTTGTAAAACAAGTGTACATCTGAGCTGATATGAAGAACAAGTTTGCATTAATTTGTGTTGGATAGATGTGTTCCCAAGAACCGAGCCAATGTATGGAGCAGGGGCACTGCTCATGCACAGCGTGTCTGGAAGCAATGCAGGTGATGGTTAAAGTGGCATAGAGCAGAGGGAATGCTACTGAGCCTGAGTGATGCTTTCTTGTAAACATAAAATGTGCTCAGCAGTCTTTAAAAATATCTCAGCCTAAAAGAAGATATGATGTCTTCAGCTTCTAAGCATATAAGTACTTCAGAAAGTGGATAAACAGTTGCACGAGGATATGCTGCTAGACACATGCACAGCTTTCCCCCTGGATGCCTAAAACAGATATGATATATCCTCCCAATGTTCACACACATGATTTCCTAAGGCAAATAGGAAAGCCAAAACTAATTAAAACATCCCTATTACAGGAGGAAAACTTTACTATATGAATCCATGGTCCATCCACATCATGGACAAAACATAGTTCTGATCTCCTCATCTTTAAGAAACAGAGAGCTGGAAAACTTTCAGAGCAGGGCAGGAAGGGGAATCAGGTTCAAGACCAGTTTCTCTGTGAGGAACTGCTTTGTAAACCAATGTGTTTCCATTTGGGAGAGGAAATATTGATGGAGACACAAAAGCAAGCTACAAAATCATAGGTGATCTGGAAAGAGTGGATAGGATTCAACTGTTCACTGTCTCTTCTCATGTCAGAACTACAAATGAAGCTACTAGGAATCATCTTAATAAAGGATTTGGATTAGGGGATGATGGTGGTCCACCACATATGGAGTAGCAGATCTGCAGAGCTCGCAGGAGATGACCCTGTGGACTCTAAAACTGATGAAGTTGCCAGGGAAGCTGCTCATGTGAGAGGATTTGTTTGCTATGGGACACACAGGAACCAATCCAGCACAGGAGGTGCTCACACTGAAACAACTAAATGCTAAGAAAATATAAGACGAAAGTATTACAAATTCTTGGCCTGCTCTTGCACTTTCCTAGACAGTGATGTAACTGGGTACTTATGGACACAGTGGGATACTACATTCTGAACTAAATAGCCAGTTGGTCCAAGCCAGGATGGCTCATTTTATTAGGATGAGAGAATTAAAGTGGATTTATCAACAGGAAAAAAAATATCGAAAAAAAATTGATTTATGATCATGATTTCTTGTGCTTTGCTTTAATGAACAGAAAATGCATCAGTATCTATTCAGACTCCTGCACTTTGTCTAATTTTTTTCCATCAAAATGTCACCAGTACTCATGTGGTTAAACATACTTCTAGTTCAGAAAACCAACATTTCACAACCACATCTTATCTACAGCTCCTATTGATTTCAAGGGCTCAGCAGTCCTGAAATTCTGACTACGGGATTACAGAGGTAGGGAGGCAATCAAGTTATTTTCTACAAATCTACTAGAAAAAGAACAATTATAAAGATTGTCACAAAACAAGAGTTATTTCATCATGAATCTCCACAAACTTCAAGTGCTTTCTGGCTACCCTCCTTCAAAGAGTATGTTGTGATCTTGCATTTTGAGAGCTGTTCTCAAAACCATTCTCCAGGATTGTTTCCTTTCTGTCAAAAGGGTGGCTAGGGAGCACACAGGACTCTGCATGTCCCAGGCTATAAGACAGATACAGTGCTCAGATCATCGAAGTCCATTTCCTGAGAGGGTTTTGTGCAATATAAAGAAGCATTGATAAGCTTTCTGCATTTTTTAGCTCTCAATAAATGCTATAAAATTATTTTTTGTAGTATTTAAGTAGCAACTGTGCTTAGGATCTTTCAATCTGACAATTGTGTAAAATGATTGTGTAGAATATTAACTACTTGGAATGAAATCGTTAATTGTCCTGTTAACGAGACAGCCATCAGCTACCTGGACATGGTGCCAGTGGATTGGCATAAAAAAGAGCTTTCAATGGGCTGGGGAGAAAGAAACAAGATAAATAGTCAGGCTGTGCTCTAATTGCTTCAGTATTAAAATAACTGCAAAGGGAGATGAGCATGAGTCATTTTCTTTGGGGCCAAATTTTTCTAATTTTGAGTCACGTTGAGCAATACCATGCTGCATGTGTGGTTCTGCAGAAATCAATGTAATTCTCATCAGATATTATTCAGTGTTAATCAGAATACCTGCAACTGGCTTGTAGAGTTTGAGAGTGAATTTTGAATCGAGCTTGGGATGAAGAAATAGATCCTGGCATGCCTTTTCTCTTTTCAGTGGCATCTCCTGGCATCAGAGAGGAGTCATAGCTCATTACCATCTTTGTGCTTGCTTTCTAAACTTGCAGATTATCTCCCAAATTTTCACTCAATTTAGATCATCTTTCAGAGCAACCCCTCCTCCTGCCCTAAGAAAGAGGCTTTGGCATGCTTGATTTTAAGACATTTTGGGAGAGGTGAAGTGTTGAAAGGGGAAGCTAACCACTTTTTAAGGGAAGCTTGGAATCTGTAAACTGTCAAACATTTGCAATTCCCAAGGATGTTGGAGGGGAAAAAATGAAACATTGGTTATTTGATTTATCATAAATATTTATTGACGTTCTTGTTCATGCTAGAGACAGACTATTTCTTCAGGTATGAGCTGAAATAATTGCAGATCCAATAGAAAACAAAATATTTTTATTTACCAATATAAAGTAGCTATCATTTGTCAATGTGACAAAATATTTATGTCAAAAAGGGTCCGGTTTCCTTCTTTAAGATAACAGCATTGATAAAGATCAGTGCTGGAATGATGTGTCCACCTCTGGGATCAATGTTCTTTAAAGTCATTAGGAAAACAGAGAGACTACAAGAGCTATTTGAGAATGGACAAAATCCTTTACTGTGACAGACCAGAGAAGACAGACCTTAATAACTCATTTTAAAAAATACATTTAGAAAAGATCTGATTATACTGCATAAATACTGCCCTGGAAAGAAAACACCAGACAGGAAAGGCTATGTACTATGCAGAAAGAAGATTACAAGGCTCAGGAGCTGAACCCTAAGCAAAATTAATCTAAATTAAAAATTAGGCATCACTACTTAATTATATGGAAAGAGGTTAATTACTGGAAAAAAGCTTTGAAAATATCTGAAAATAATGGAATCCCCACTCACCTGCACAAGTACTGCTACTGAAATATCACAGTACTTAGGTGCAAAGTCACAGCCCAAAGGGCAATCTGCTATAGTAATGCACAACAGAAAAGACAAAAACAAAAATTCCATTTCAGTTGTCTTTATGCTTGAATCAAATGTAAACAAGCTCCCAGCTATTTTGTGGTGCTCACCTTTAGAATAAGAGAATAACAAAATAAAAAATTAAAAAACATGCATCTTAAAGTCCTTTCAATGAATTGATGCATCCCACTGATGACTCTTGATGGATGTACATGGGAATGGAAAGTACTTCAAACAGAATCTCAGTCTTTCTAAAACTCAGGGAACTGAAAGAGGAAATTTAAATAGACAGTTTTGATTCTGTGTGACAAGATGCAAAAGGAAATGGCATGGAAAGTAATTTCACAAATCCCAGATTTAACACTTGAGGTTTTTAATGAAGTTGTGTCCCATTTCGTTTCAACAAGACAACTAATATGCACTATTTTCATGGAATTTATTGGAGGGAAGTGATTCAAGAAGATATTTATTAGACCTTATCATTGATTTATATGATGATTATTTGAAAATAATAATTTCTATGCTTGTGATTGTTTTAAATGTCAGAAAAGGAACCTTTTTATTTAAAATTATTTTATTTAAAATTAATCCTTCCTGATATCTATGATGAGGACATTGGGTGTTTTTCTTCTTTTATTGTTATCATAACTCATTTTAAAAAAATATCACTCTTCATCATCTGGCAACAAAAAATAGGATGTCTTTGCTTTTCAGGGCAAAAGAATGAGGGTTGGACTTAAAAGAGAAGCTAACAT